AGTCCTCTGCCGGCTGCAGGATTTGAACCTGCAACCCTCCAGCTGCAGGTGCAGATTTAGCCACAGAGCCACCACCACCGCGTTTTGTGTATGTTTTATTGTTCTAGTTGGTTGTTGTCATTCTGTAAAGCACTTCAAGAAGCCATCTTTAAAGGTGCTCTATAAAATAAAGTCTGTTGTATTATTATTATTATTATTATTATTATTAAACTTGGTCACTTACTGTGGCTGTTTTGGAGAAGTTTTGACATGCTCATTCTTACTAGATAAAGTTTATATACTTTATAAAATGCTGTAATCCTTTAATCTTATTAGGGAAAAAATAATTGGAATAATAATCAATATATAATATTAATTAAGTGGAAATCAATTTACTAGGGAATATTAATATGGAGTCATGTAACTAAAATAACTTTTTGTTAGATAAAAAACAGTACAAAACAGTATTCCACATTCTTCATAAACATTTTATACAGTACATCAACATGTTTAACTGGGTCATTTGCTGTGGTTATTTAAGAAAAGTGTTGGCTTTGACTACATCTGTTGTAATGGAACGTGAAACTCACATGTGACCTGTGGTGTGTAGCACATATTTCAGATTAACCTTTCTGATGTAGCACTGGAGGGAGTGTTTTGTGATTTGTTGGTACATTATCTCTTTACAGCAGGAGAGAGGAAAACTGGGTGTGGGCTTTTATTTTCACCCTCCTGTTTCAGTACACATTCCCAATAGTCACTGATGCTGCTTTAGTTATAGATCAGCAAACTCCAATTCCCATAAAAGCCACTTGGGGACTTCCTGGCAGCATCTTTGTCTCTTACTAATGCACCTTAACGTAAGACAAGTTACAGAACACATTCATTCAAATGACCACGTAAAAGATTTGTTTAATCTGGTGTGATTGTGTTAATTTACTTTTAAAAACAGTTTTTTAAAGACTCTATTGTCTGATATGTTTTTGTAACTTAAATTTAAATAAATGAACTCATAAAATGTAGCATACTGTGAGGTATAAAATTAATAAAAATGATAATATAGCATATAATTATCTAAGATTATTATATCTATAAGATTTTCCCCACAGGGCTGGGCATTGGCCAGGATTCAAACCCAGGCTTTTCATGTGACAGTCCAGAATTCTTCCACACGTTAGCAGCAGGGACATCTGATGGGTTCGAAGACAACCTGAGGAGAGGTGGTTGAAACCCGTATTGGCATTCAAAGGGAAACATACCTGTAGATGAATTGACCAGGATATTCTGGGGCAGTTCAGCCCAGGGTTGAAAAGAGAAGCTCCTTGAAGAATCTAGGCATGGGTTTGGGATCTAGGGATATGGAAAACTCAGAATCAGGGGGCAGCACATTGATGGAATGCACAGGAAGCCAATGGTCTCCCACATGCAATACGCCCACTGTCATGGTCACACCAATGGTCCTTGTCTGGATGCTCCCATCCAAGTCCTGCACAGTCAGTGCCGGATTGCACAGAACCTGGGGGATGCCAAGTTCCTGGGCTGTCTTCCTGCTACACAGGAATCCCAGATGACGGGGCTCCTCTCTTCTGCTTACTGACAGAGACATTTCTTGGTCACTCCAGGCAAACCAACCGCCAGTGTCCCTTCCCTCAACAGAATGCACAGAGACCCTGCATTGGCTCTTCTTCAGCACTTCTAAGGAAGGTGTCAAGCACTACAGGAGAGTGGGCATCTGAGGGAGGCGGCACAGGTTGTCGGCCCAGGTGTTCAGGTGGAGCCTCCAGTGCCTCTCCTGGCAGTACTGATGGCCAGTGCGGTCAGGGCATCTAAGGTGTGAGGTAGATCCCTCATCCTTCAGCCCTTCAGACAGCCCTGCCTGGAGCAAGGCACAGAGCTCGTTCTCCCCCCATCCACTTTCCATGGCCAAGGTGCAGAATTGTATGGCATATGAGTGGGCAGGCATGGCTCCCTGCTTGTAATGGAGGAGTTTGTGCATTGACTTGGTGACTCACCCTGGATATCAAACACCAGAAGGAATGCCTCTGTAAACCAGGCATAGTCACTGAAAAGGGGGATCTGCCCTCTCCCACAGACACCCAGGCTAATGCTGCCCCAGGAAATAATGGAAGCTATCTGTGCCTGGTACAGATGAGGGGATGGAGGGTGGCTACATGCAGAAAATGATGCCACACTGTGTAAGGAATCCCTTGCATCCATCTGGATCTCCTGAGTCTGGAAGAGGGGAGAGTCTCATCCAGATCTGGGATAAGAGGAGCAGGAATCTGGGCAGAAACTGGAGTAGGAGTCTGGCTGGGATGAACAGCTGGAGCCAGAACAGATGCAGGAGCTGTGATGGTAGTGATGGTCTGCATCATCTCCTGCAGTAGAGCTTGCATATCACCTTGACACCTGAAGAAGACTCCTCAGGTGAAACATTGTGTTTCTTTTCTTCTCTTTTCAACATGGAATAAACCTTTACTTGTTCCTTTACAGCCTACGCATGCTGACACAGCTCCCTACTGTACTTGAATTTCTTCAACTTACTGTAATATCTGTCGCAGGTCCCCAAGCCCTGCTGGATTTGTTTCCTTTGGCTCTGTTATTTCTGTTATAGCATGGATTGCTGTAGCTGATAACTGAGTCTCTCAGGCAGGATGGGAATCCTAATGCAGGAGATCGGTAGTTTCCAGAGAGAGGTGGAGTTTGCCAAGGAGCAGTAAATAATGACGGACATGAAGGAAAACCGACAGGTTCAGGAATCAGGGCAGAAACAGACATGGAAGATGCCACAGGAAAAGTGTTGGCAGATCTTGTGTCTTGGGTCTCAAAGATCAAGGTATTTACTGTAGTAAATCAGGTTCCTAAGTAGCGCATTCTAGTCAGGGCTGGGCATCGCAGGACGTCAGTATGACAGACGTTGAATGACAGAGTATCTTCCTCTTGATGTTTCAGGCATTAAATAGGGGATCTGGACTAAACTAATGAGAAGTTTGGGTACCGGATTCATAGAGGGAAGGGTGAATCAAAGGCGGCCTGAATGTATTTGAAGCAGAGCCCCAGGGGAAATGTGCTCACTCGTAGGAATGCTGTTGGTTCCCAGGACAGCCATGGGCTGTGAGTCACTGCAGTCCAGGAGTGATACACAGCACCTGCAGTTGCAATATGTTTTACAGAACCAAGAAACAAAAGCATACATTTCAAAACAACTTATTTTGAAGATCTTATCTCAGCCACTCCAAAGACTAGGCAGTTGAATTTGGTCCTGCATGTACTTAATGCCCATAATTCAAGGACAATGTGTATTGAGAGCTATGAGTGATATTGTGGAGCTTTATTTAACACAACAGAACAGTTGTGAAGTTGGGGAATATACTATTAAATAATAAAACAAAAAAATTAGAGTCAGCAAAATTAATTGCATAGTGGGCACTCAAGGTTCTTTTTAGCAGAGATAACTCGGCATGAAAGAATGCTTCTGTTCACTTAGGTTTAGCTACCAAAGAAGTCATGTGGTCTTCTGTGGTGGAGGGGCCAGTGTTAGCAGTGGATGTAAACTAAAGGAACAATTTGCTGTGCGGTGGCAGGAACATGAAGAGGACATCAGGAACAGGAAAAAGACTTCACCTGACATTAGTGGACCAGTAGGGATACAAGTGCAGAATTTGTTCCATCCACTACAGTTGACAGTTGTGTCAGATGGTCTGGATATATTTCAGCTGCAATCTCTTGCAAGTGCATAGCCAGGGGACCATTTTCATAATTTTCTACCTTCCCTTACTTCTTAACTTCCCAGAGAAGGGACTCTCAGATTTTTTTTTATTATTTTCAGAAAGTGGTTACAAAATGAGTGCAATGTTTCCTAAACTGAACTAGCTTTTCTTTAAACTGAAAGGGCTTAATTCCACCCAAGCCTTATGGTAGAATTGCCCTTCATAAATTAGTCAATCAAACAACAGGGGAAAGGATTAGAAAATAAGTTTAAAGGCAGTTCAACACAAAGAGCTGTAGATATTATAAAAATCTTTAATAACCACTGAGATAAGAATATATGTGACTTTATTTTATATAAACATACAAGAGCATTTTTAAACTTTTTTTTAAATTTTCTAAACATTATGGCTAAATAAATCATAGAATTAAAATTGCAACATAACACTTAGCATATTATAAAGATACTTTATATGTAAAACAGACTATAGATATAAGATTCAAAGTTCTTTCCCTGTATTGTATTTACTCAAAACGTTTACACTAAGCTAAACATACAATTAACTTTTAGTGCCACAGCAATTATATAATGACATAGTATTTATTAACAGAGTACTTCAGTTTATAATAAATGCTAATAATATGTACATTGATTTATTATATATTTTTAGCAGAATAATCCAGTAATTATGCTTATTGTTATTGAAAATGTTACTATAAAATATATATTTTAATATTTTAGCACAATTTATCAGGATGTAATTAAAAACAATTTTATAAAGGTAATATTTTATTTTATGGTTGATTCATGGACACGGACTGGATACCGTCTCAGATCTTATAGAAGACCCTATGCGATGCGGTAAGAGCTGGAGAAAACAGGAGGCGTGGTAAAAAGGAACACACAGGGGTTTAATAGTGCACAAAATAATAGTGACAGTCCGTGAGACAGTGTACAGGGAAGACAAAACGGCATCCAAATCCAAACGGGTCCAAGGGCAGGTCAAAGCACAGTCCGAAAGTCCATCAACTAGAAATCCATCCTGGGACGCGACAAAGTTAAAATCCCCGGGAGGGGGGAGCACACAGACAAACGAAACATGGAGGTCCAAGGGTGACGGGGCGAGATCCTCCAGACCCCGGGCTCAGGAAACGGGAGGTGTCGGGGATGAGGCCTATGCCCTCAGGAGACGGACGTAGGGTTTCCTGGTGCTAGGAGGGCCTCGCGACATCTTACCCTAATGATGAGCCCCGAGGACTGGAGGAACTAGTCTTTAAATAATAACACTAAAAGGGTACACCTGGAGAACTAAATCAAACGAACAATAATGGGAGCAGTGGAGCGCCCTCTAGGGAGGGATGTCGGGCGTGACAGGTTGGTGTTGTTTGGCAAGTAAGGATAAAGTTTGAAACAATTCCTTGTGTGTAAAGCAATGTGAATGATGTTTGATACAAATGTATAGTTACTAATAATTAAAAATGCAGTTATCGAGACCCACAAACAAGGCTTGTGATACTCTTTTTCAGGTTCCTAGACTTAATGCATTCCTATACAATGAAGCCTAGTTTGAAAGAAGAAAGAGTCCCTTTTCAAATCCAGGTTGTGCTGCTTGTGAACTGTGCCTCTGAATGGAAGGACAGAAATGGTCATGTGACTGTGGGATCAGGGTGAGAAGACAACTGTGTTAGATTTGGCTACTTGACATCACTGCTATGCTTCTTTCTGTGTTGTTTTTAAAACCCTTTTAAGAGCCTTTGCTCCACAAATCTGTGGGTATTCCTATAGTCAAAGAGACTCTTTCTCACAAATCCAGCGATAGGTGTTGCTGCAAGAAGCTGAACTTATTATGTTCTGTGTGTTGTCCCAGTGCTGGGCAGCACAGTTACCTTTCTCATACTGATTAACCACAAACCTGTGAGGCAAAGAGACAAAAGAGGAGAACAGCAGTTATCAACAGACTTAGTTGACATTTGCTCGTAAAATGTCCTAAACATTAAAAGAACATTATTAAGGGGTGTAATGAGAACATTTGTGAATTGCTATAATCATATGGGAATAAGTATTAGTTTAGATTTTCACAAAGTCTAACTATACATTTTTTTTTTGCTTAAGAAGCCTCCACAGCCAAAACATTCTGTTTTTTTTCTTGTCTTTTCAGCATGAAATAAACATTTCCTTGTCTTTTTGCAGCCTGTGCATGCTGGCACAGCAACCTACTTGACTGTTTACAATGAATTCACAATGCAGCAGCTAGAATTGTTCCTAGGAGCAGAAAGTACGACCATATAACCCCTATACTTAGCTCTCTTCATTGACTTCCTGTCAGGTACAGGGCAACTTCAAAATCTTTCTTCTTACACTACTTATAAGGCTCTCAGAGGTCAGGCACCTTTTTACCTAATGGAACCTATTAATGTTTACCATCCAAGCTTAGATCACAGAATGCAGGTCTTCTTCATATTCCAGGCATTAATAAAAAACAGTTGGCGGTAAAGCATTAGTAACAGAGCCCCTAGCTTATGGAACAGTCTCTCACCCCATGTTCAGGATGCTGAGTCAATCTCAGTATTCAAATCCAGACTGAAGACCTACTGTATTCTTGCAAGAGATTGCAGCTGAAATATATCCAGACCATCTGACACAACTGTCAACTGTAGTGGATGGAACAAATTCTGCACTTAGAAGAAGGCTCCACGGCCGAAACGTTGTGTTCTCTTTCTTCTTTTTTTCAGCATGGAATAAACCTATTACTTGTTCCTTTGCAGCCTACGCATGCTGACGCAGCTACCCACCTGAATAACTTCAGCCTAGCCTACTCAAACCTTACATCATAGCCTGCTGCAATCATGGCTGCTGGTGCTGCTGTACATGCTATTGTGTGTCTCTATGTTGGCCCACCAGGTAGATACATCTGTTCTGACCAAACTATCCTATTCTCCTCCCCGGGCAGGGCACCATCTGAGTTGGATGCTACATCACAGCCATGTATCCAAGAGGGACATAGTGGATATAGCTATCATTTAGGAGGATTTGGCTGGTCTACAGAGATCTGCATGGAGTACTGACATACAGAAGACATGATGGATGGATAGATTAATATCCTCATTTATTTATTTCCTTTTTTTTATTTATATAATGTTAGCATGCCCAAAGGGGTTTGGCAGCCACTTGACCTTGGACCCCTAGAGGTTTTTTTTTCTCCTTACTAAGGAGTTTTTGGTTCCTCTCCTCCGTTGTCTTCTGGTCTTTTCTGTTCTGTATTCACAACAGAAGGCTTCACAGACAAAACGTTGTAGTTTCTCTTTTCTCTTTTCAGCATAGAATAAACCTATTACTTGTTCCTTTGTATGGTCATTTGTTTTGTTAAGCGTAACCTTTTTGCTCTAGTTTATCTCTTACAGCGACAGTGACACAAATTCGATAGTTTGAATTTACTGGAACAATTAGAAATTAAATTTAATCGAGGGTCAAAGTATTAGTTTTGCACCTGCTACCCAGAGCAAACTTTATGCCAGATGGCCATAAAAAGTAGTATAATGGGTAGGTCAGGTGAACTATAAAGTCATCAATGAGATAAACAAAAGAAATACCAGATCTGCCATGTAAATGCAGTGAAAATTATGGGAAAAATGGGAACTGGATTTGTAGATTACCTCTTGTATATGAGAGGAGTGATCTAATTCATATTCCTCTGGTGCTTCCCTACCACCTTAACACACTCTCTATCCCCAAGACCATTAATGGCAATTTTCCTATCCTACAGGATGATCCCTCCACTGGGGCCCTCTTTTCTGATCGCCCATCATCTCATATCATCTCGATATCATCTCATATCACCAACCACCTAATCTGCGTAACCTTCTTGTTCACAGCTCCCTTGATCGCACTCAGCATTCATCCCCACCAAGCACCTTCTCCTGTAATAGAGCTTTCTGAATCACCTTCAAAGACATATCTAACAACACGCTCATTCAGGGCCCCTCAAAGTCAATTCCGGATCACCCAGACAACACCCTGTACCTCCAACAACCTCATTTACCGTATCTCCTGCAAAAAATGCCAAGCTATCAACTGGAAGAAGACTAGGAGACCACTTCAGAGAAGATGTTAGGACTGTGATGATAAAAGATTTCTCCAAGCCCACAGTTTCCCACTTCACCTCAGATGGCCATGATCACACTGATCTCTCTGTCTCTGTTCTCAAACTCCCACAGCAGAAAAACAACAGAAATTAAACTCATCCTGAAACTATGTTCACACTAGGTCTCTCAATGACCAACGTAGTTTTGTGTAATCTTCTCTATTCTCATGCAGGTTTTGACTTTTCTTCACCCTTCTGCACTTTGCACTTCCTGCGTGGCCTCTCTGCCTCTCTGCCCCTCCTGCCTCCTCCCCTCTCCCAGCTTTTGTTCTTCTGTGCTATTTAATCTTTGTTGTCTGTCCTGTCTTTCTCACACCTGAAGAAGGCTTCACAGCCGAAATGTTGCGTTTTCTCTCTTCCCTTTTCAGCATGGAATAAACCTATTACTTGTTCCTATCTATAGCGTAGCTCAATCTCGTCCGGGAATGTGATATAACCTGCCTCTTCAGGGGGAACTGTATGACATTAAACCAGGGTTTAAATGGAATCTCTGCTTCTCACTGACACACCTGCCAGTGAGGAATTCGCTCACCCGGCTCCTCACTGCAAGTGCTGCTACAGTCCAGACCCCTGTGAGCTGACCTTAGGATGATAACAGGGTATCTCACTGCAAGACCCGGTTTCTCACTCTCCCTGTGACAGAGAGGATTTCATCTGCTTGGTGACTCACTGCGAGACCCAGTTTGGTCTAGCTTCCTGATAGCAGACAGCCAGAGACTTCCCATGAGCTCTGTCTCTCCCTGACACACCGGTGAGCATCTGACTCCCCACGAGTCAACCCAGACTAATTACGCCCTTGACCCTATGTAGGGAGCTTGGCTTCCCACTAGTGAGGCGAATTCTTCAATTACCTTGTGCCTATGTGATATGAACACATTCCTGCCTGTCTTGAGTGCCTCACCAGCACCCTTTGGTGGCATAACCCTTTAACTGACACTACAGGTCCTGTTGCCCTTTTATACGTTGATGGGTGCCAGGTGTGCAAACCACTCATTTGGCTTTTCTGAAAGGTGTAGTTGTAACTAGGAGTTGACAATTCTATAATGAAAAACACATCATCAAGTTTTAGTCTGTGTTTTTCTTTGCAACGTATCTGGAGATTTTTTTACAGTACATCAGGAAAGACAATCAGACTAGAAATAAAAGGTACACGATGAAAACAATATACTTCTTATTTAATGATGTATTAGACTGTTATTAATGACTTTATAAACTGGCGTTCACAATTCCCTCAGGCTCAGGCCATTAAAATAGTAAAAAGTATAGTTTTGTTGCTTCTGCCAATTCATCTCCAGTAGATGATGGTTATTATCTATTTGTGAAGCATATTAATACATTTCATTTAGGAGGCAATTATAAATTCCATTTGTAACCCCTATTCTGAAGTGTTTCCAACATTTTTCTGATTTTTCCCTCCTGTATATTTATGAGGAAACAAATACAGGATCAAGCTTGTTAAAATGTTGTTCCATTGTTCCATCAAAAGAAAAGCTAAATTCTCTTTCTCTGCTCCGAGCCATGGAGGTCACACAGATAATGTGTCTTTCACTCCAAAAGCCGAGAGAAACATACATACATGTTGGAGTTCAAAGGTTTGTTGTCAGGCCACTTCCAGGTACCCTGATCCTTCTGAAGTCCTATCCAATGACCCACATCCATTTCTGTGTAATGTCGAAAAAAGATCTAGAAAGAGAAAGACAACTAAACCACATTTTCTCATTCTAGGAAGATAAAAAAGTCTTCTTGCATCACACAATCAAAGTGTAATTTTTATTACACTTTGTCACTATGGCAACCCACCGTGTCTCCATGAGGTCTGAAACATCCGCGAAGTCTGTCCAGTATGGGCCTTTATCAGCCCCCCCTGCTGCTCATTAATGAGTTAATTAATGGGTTAAGTCCTAGCTGAGCCCTTGCTCATTGGGTTCTCCACTGTCCCAGCCAGGCTCCACTCACTCGCTTTTTCTTCTGTGCTTGCTGTGTACTGACAGCTTGGGTCCTGGGTTCAGTTCCCATGTTGCTAGCTGTGTGGAGTTTGTATGTTCTTCCCGTGTTTTTGTGTGGGTTTCCTCTTTGTACTCCAGATGGCTGGTGACATACTGGTCACTTAATTGGCTTCCATGAAAATTAGCCCCGGTGTGAGTGTTAGTGTCTGCGTGTGCCTGCGATGCACTGGCATCCCATCCAGGGTGTATCCTGCCTTGTGCAATTGCTTAGGCTCTGGCTCCCCGTAGCCCGGTACTGTATAAAGCAGTTAAAAAATAGATGGCTGAAGTCATAGAAGAACTCCTAAAAAAATTACCAACAAACGATATAATGATAGAAATTTTTAATATAGTTTCAGATACTGTTGAAACAGACTGGATTATCCATTTTAATACTCTGTTGTAGCAAAATTCAATTATACACTGAAAACAAAAGTGTGGAGAAGTGTTACAGCCTATAACCATAGAATGTATATTGATTAATCACAGGATTTTGTTAATCAAAACCCTAAATCATGCCATAACGCTACAAATATGTTAAACTACTTGTGCATTATGGATAGTAGCAATAGAAGTAATCTCAAATCGGTCATTTCCATTTAGTTCAGTCCACTGTAACTGCCTTCTTGTTTACTGATGGGCTGACACAGTACCCACCAAGGCTGTTACTTTGTGAGAGTTTTCCTGTTCTCATAACCCTTATCCATATGTCTAGGAGTCACCCATAACATTGGAGCTCTATCCTGCTAGATCCTGCCACTTCTGGGAATTTGATCTTTCTTCCCCGGCACCTCACTGCAAGACCTGGCTTCAACCTGACAGGAGTGACAGTGAAGGTCTAGCCCTCAGTGAAGATGAGCCAACCTGCAGGAGTCTTCCTCTGATATTCATGCCTGGTAGCAAGCATCAGACTTCCATGAATGAACTAAGGCCATTTTTCTCACTAACCTTATACTGTATAGGCTTGACATAGGTGATGTCAGGTCCTTAATAACATCTGGCATATTTGGCTTGTTTATGCATTTCTCTGTATCTGGAGCATCTCTACACCACCCTCCAGAATTTTAACCTCTTATCTGACATTCCAGATCCAACTGCACTGCACTGTTGCAAAAATGTTATAGTCCTTCCAAAAATAACACTGAAACACTTCTCTACACATAAATTCAATGATACAATGAGAGGTTCAATACTGAAAACAAAACTTGAACATTGGTTATGAGTAAATATTTCATAATGTTTTTTACTTTACTTGTATTTGAGCTTGTATGCAGAATCTGTAATGCACTCTGTAATGTTAACCATTGCAGAGTGCATTATAGATTCTGTATACAAGCTCAAATACAATGACACTGAAGCTATAACGTTCTTGTTTAAAGTTTGGTTGCAGTCACAAGGAAAGTGCAAGGAATCAGAACTGAATATTGAAGGTCCTTTGCAGACCATTGTATGTTTAGGCAGATACAGTTTCCACAACAACAATGCAAAATTTTACACACAATGTCATACCCAGTTGTAACAGTGTAGGTCTTTGAACCGACTTTTCACTGGCTTGAGGGTCGATATTTTTGAGGTAGAGAGCCAGTGTATATTTACTCAAAGTGAAGGTTTTTCACTAAGGTGAGATAGCAAGGTGTAAGAGAAAAACAAATTAGTGACAAAAAGAGTGCACCTTAGTTGTATAGTCAATAGCATAGTTCTGGGACAAACAAAGAGGAGTCACATGAGAATTGAATATGAGAGAGCATTCTCACATGACTATTAGGCAGAGATAAACAATTAGAAGGCTGCCTTAGTGGTAAACATGGGAAGATTCCTTCTACTGTGTCACACAGTAATTAATTGCTAGTAAGTAGTTACCAATGTAGCGGCGAGGCTTAATAATAAGGCAGAATTAAGTGTTTCTGAGCTTCCCAAATGAG